GGTAGACTCATTGGCAGAGCAATGGAGTAAAATGATAATAAGATAAAAATAGTGAACTTGAAAGCACATATCTTAATACGAATCAGTTTATGGCATACAATCAGTTTGTGGCATAATCAGAAAAAAAAAACCCAAAACAAACCACCAACAACAAACCAATAAACCAGTAACAAAAGAAAATGAAAACATCTTAAAAATTACTTGGAACTTTATCAAGTGGAATTATTTATATTTAATTGCTATTTCAGAACAGGAAGCGATAAAAAAGAGAAAAGAAACTTCCCAAGATTTGTTGAATGGATGATCTTTTCTATATTACTAATTCAAAGTTTGCAAATGGCAAATTTCTAATTGTATTTAGTAATACATGTGATGACAAATTTTACATTTTATAACTTTTTTTTCTTTCAGGTTTTATATACATCATTCTGTTGCCTTCTTGTAGATGTGGTCACTGTTGAGGAAGTAGAGATTAGTCTTATTGTTGCTGTTGTTTGATACTGTCAATTTGGAACTTGATTCAAGGTTGATCCTCCAGCAGGTGTTCAGAGGCAGTAAATATCATATAAGGAGATTGCCCATCTTTCTTCAGAAAGATGATGCTGGTAGATTAGAACTTCTTGTCTTTGGGTTGAAAGCACAGGTGTTTATGTAGGCCACCAGAGTTTAGTTCTCCCTTTTTAGCAACTTTTCATTTATTTTGCACAGCTTTCAGCATTCTCTCTTTAACTTTGGCTTTGGAAATTTTTAATTTGGTATATATTGGTAATATTCTTTTGTATTCTATTTGGGGGCTTGTTTAAATACCTGAATGAATATATTCTCTTTAATGATATGGAGAGGGATATTATAATGGGAAGAGAAGAGAGTTGGCAAGGGAGAGGAAGACCCTCAACTAGGTGGATTGACAGAGTTACTGTTGCAATGGGCTCTTGTGTGTCAGGAAGCATGAGGATATTGCAGGACAGGACTGGTTTCAGATCTTTGTTCACAGGGTCGCTATGAGTCATACTTGACTCGATGGTACCTAACAACAACAACACCAACAACAAACAACAACGCCTTAAGTAGATGGCTTTAACAAATGGAAGTTTATAATCTTACACTTTAGGGGGCCAGATAACTGAATTAATGATCTGAGCTCTAGGAGAAAGTTCTGGAGGATGATCCCCACCCCCACACATCAATCTCTGTGGGGCTGCTGTTCTTTACAGATCTCTAAGGAATGCTAGGGGTGAGTTAGTATCAATATTCTTCTAGGTCTAGGAGGATCTCAGTACATTGAACACACATACATAGAACATGCTTTGCTCCTATTCTTCTTTCTTGATAGTTCTGAGATTCTTCTTTCTCTATTTGCTTCTCTATCAAATTTCTCTTTTAAATAAAAAGTGATGCAGTTAACAACAAAAAGAAATTTCCTTCCTTTTGGATCAAAGCTGCTCCCTCAATAAGGATGTTGCTTTTTACTCTAATCCCTTATAACTATTTGTTGATCACATTATATTTTGTACCATCTCCATCAGACTTGCTGTGGTCTTGCTGTTCTTACATGACAGTATGTACAAGAGCTCTAAAACCCGCTTTATCTTGTTGCCAGGCTTATTGTCTCTGACACACCTACAACCATTACCCTAGTCACTGAATGAATCCATCTCATGAGGGTCTTCCTCTCTTGCGCTGTCTCTCCACCCTCCCAAGCATCATGTCCTTCTTCAAGGACTGGTTCTTACTTGCAATATAACTAATGTATGTCCGACAAAGCCTTAGAATCCTTGCCTTCAAGGAGCAGCCTGGTTTCACCTTCTCTAGGTCAAACTTGTTTGTTCCCCTTGCAGTCCATGTTATATTCAATACTCTTCTCCAACACCATAGCTCAAACACATAAATTCACCTTCTGTCATCCCTAGTCATTGTCCAGCTTTCTGATGCATAGCAAGTAATTGTGAAGACTATGGCCTAGATCAGGTGCACCACAGTCTCCCAACTTTTATTGTTGCTCTTCAGTATTCTGGAGAGTCTGTGGATAGCAACATTCAAGTCATAACTTAAAGAATAACAGCCATCTGCCAAAGTATTTCATATCTTCAGGAATTAACAAATTGTCAGTTAAAGTGACAAAAATTTTTTGACTAATCATTTTAGTAAAATTGACTAGGGCAAGATCCATTTTGATCTTGGTATTGCTAATGGTTCTTCCTCTCTCTAAGGACATCATCTCAATTCCTAGTTGCCTTAGTTAACGTTGTTGTGTTTTGTTTTGTTTTATATTAATTATATTTTTAATCCATTAGTGACTTCAAAGGAAAGTCACTAAGGACATTTTAGAGTTAGTTGATTTTTTTTTTCATTTGTATTATTTTTAGATGAATCTCTCTTGTTATAATAGAGTATATAAAACAGATTCAATATTGTCTGTAAGGAAATTTTTAAGGGAATCATCATATGTTAGGATTGTTAGGTCAGATCTAAAACTTTTAAAAAATAAGCGTAATGTCTAGTTGGCTATGTAAGTATTGCAAAAACTGTTTAACGCAAGTTACACTGTGTTTCATGATGAAATGTTTATCATGGAGATAAAAAAGTACAATATGATGGTTAAGAGGTGTGGGAAATGGGAACGATTTAGTATGAAAAACAGTGTATTTGAATTTTGCAAATAAACTAGTAAGAAATAAAAAAGTAAGTACTTAACAATTTTCAAGTCATTTTTTTCTCTAAAGAAATTATCAATAAGGGGTTGTTGTGTTGTTGGTTTTTTTTTTCATTTTAGAGCAATCTTTATGAAGTCATATTGTTAGACCTTTTTATTTATGGAACCATTAGATAGGTTCTAACTGAAAATCTTTGGATTAAAAAGCAATTACAAAGTACTCTTACTGTCCTGATCTTAAAAGCAAAACTAAAAGGGATTTAAGTGAAAAGATTTGTAATATTGACCATTAAACTAAAACATTAACTGACTATACTGCTAAAACAATATGTTACACTGGTGTGTCAGGGGTCAATGTATCTTATCAAGAATTATTTTAAGTAGCTTACAACATGAGTGCACTACTTTCTAAATTCAAGGAGTGCAGGGAATATCTCAAGTAAAATTAAATATGAATAAAGGAAATAGCCTAGTCTTTGTAAATACTTTTCTCTCTATTTTTTTTTTTGTGGTTCTTTGCCTAGTTTCAGTAATTTACTCAAGTGCAAGCACAAAATTATTAATTAACTGAAGTCTCTGGGACTTCTTTATGAGATCTCCAGAACTATCTTTTCATTCTGTAGTTCTCTCCTTTCTTGCTCTATGCTCTATTGCCATGCAAAATTTAAATACACTGACTTTCTCAAATCCAGAGATTGGTTTTCTTAACTTTCAAAAATGGTTAATTTTCTCATGTTTTCTGTCTTTGTTCTACAGCATGAGGAAAAAAAATGACAATAAATTGTGCTAACTTTGCATTTATCTTTTTTGCTTCATCTCATTCAGGGACAACTACCTGTTGCTTCGTCATAGCCAATATCTGAAAATTGTTGTTTCTCATGCTTTCTCCCGTATGAGAAATGAAACTTTTCAGGGGGTAAGGAATTGTGCTGCCAATACAAAGGGAAGCTGTTCAAATTCAGCTGTTGCAGTATGGAAGAAAGATGAGCAATCTCCAAGTGCCATTTGTTGTTATTAATTGCCATCTAATCAAGTAAGACTCATAGCTTTGAATCCCATCCTATCCTGTGCCATCCTCACAATTTCAGGCACACTTGAGCCCATTGCTGCAGTTACTTTGTCAATCCACTTGGTTGAGTGACTTCCTCTTCTTTGTAGTCCCTCCATCTTTCTAAGTTTTGGTAAAGTTACTCTTCAAGCTATTAACATTTAAAAACTTTATTTTTAAGTTTATAGTTCACATTATATTTCTATTTGTAATGTCTATGAACTTTATTCTTGTTTTATAATGTAAGTATACTAATATGTTATTACGCATCTGGAAATTATATGACTCTTATTTTTATCTGTTTTGTTTTCTTAATTTATTTTCAATTTTAGTTATGTAATCAAGTAATCTCCAACAACTAACTGTTAGTTTTTGGGTTTTGTGGGTCACTATGACTGTTATGTATGAAAAATTTAGGAATAATTTTAATTGGTTAAATACTGGTTTAAGTGTTGATCTTCCCATGGGTATTTTACTTGCTTTATGAGTCAATTATACCATACCACTTCAATTCTATCAGGAAGTTAAATGATTATGAAAAAGGTCTTAATTCCAGTTCATTCTAAGCCTTGAAGTTGACTATGAAAGTATATGACACATATCAAATACATGATAGATTTTGAACTTCAGTTTATTTTAGTACAACAACCCATCAGACTCACAAGAGTAGTTTTCAGATAAAAAAATTACAAATATCTCAGAGGGAAATACATAGTCAAATAATGATCTTTCTTCTCTGTGGATCTTTATTCCTTAAGTTCTCACTGCCATGTTAATGTTTTGATGTATTCCAGGAAATGAAGGGATTTTTTGTTAATATTTGTTCATTTGGTTTTTGTTGTTCATTATTTCTCGTTTTTAAGGTCACATAGTGTATTTTTTTAAAAGAAATTATCATAATATTAATAAGCATTCTGGAAAAAATTTAAGTTGTATATTAAATTAAAATTACAATTAAAAAATAAAAATTAAAATGAAATGTAAACATTTAAATTAATTTAAAATTAAATTTACTTAAAAAATATTCTGGTAAAGAAAGATAACAAGCTTTGTTAAAAAAATAAAAAGCATGAAACATCAAAATTCTTTTCAATGGAGTCAATTTAAGTTTTATATTAAGTTTAAAAATCAGAGTTTTTTGGATCATTTAATACCATACTGAATAAGGGAATGATTTGATATTTGTTCTTTCTGGTGAAGTTATTTTTTTTTTTAAGATTGAAAGGGTTCATATGTATTCTGTTTAATTTTTTTTCTGATTTTTTTGAATGCAGATTGTCTGAAGTATCAAAGCTAGCAATGAGAAATCACACAATAATAACAACATTCATCCTACTGGGACTTACCGATGACCCACACCTGCAACTTCTAGTTTTTATCTTTTTATTTCTCACATATATTATGAGTGTTGCTGGCAACTTAACCATCATTAGTCTTACTTTAATAGATTCACATCTTAAAACACCTATGTATTTTTTCCTTCGAAACTTCTCCTTCTTAGAAATTTCATTCACAACAGTCTGTATTCCCAGATTCCTATACAGTATATCGACTGGAGATAATACTATTACTTACAATGCTTGTGCATGTCAAATATTTTTTATTGGACTCTTTGGAGCAACAGAATTTTTTCTTCTGGCTGCTATGTCTTATGACCGCTATGTGGCCATCTGCAAGCCTCTTCATTACATGACTATCATGAACAATAGAGTGTGCACCACCCTTGTCCTCTGCTGCTGGGTTTCTGGATTGGTGATAATCATCACACCACTTGGTATGGGCCTTGAGCTGGAATTCTGTGACTCCAATGTCATTGATCATTTTGGGTGTGATGCATCTCCCCTTTTTAAGATTTCATGTTCAGATACATGGTTCATAGAACAGATAGTTATAATTTGTGCAGTTTTGACATTTATTATCACACTCATAGGTGTGGTTCTTTCTTACATATATATTATCAAAACAATTATAAAATTTCCTTCTGCTCAACAAAGGAAAAAAGCTTTTTCCACTTGTTCTTCTCATATGATTGTTGTTTCTATCACTTATGGTAGTTGTATTTTCATCTATATTAAACCTTCAGCCAAAGAGGAGGTGGGCATTAATAAAGGAGTATCTGTGCTCACTACATCTGTTGCTCCATTGTTGAATCCCTTCATTTACACCTTGAGAAATAAGCAAGTAAAGCAAGCTTTCAATGACACAATTAAAAAAATTGCATTTATCTCAAACAAATGAGAGACTTTGAACGTAAGAAATCAAGTGAAAAAGCAAGATTTATTATTGAATATTTCTTCTGAAGTCCTAATTAAATTAGTGTTCTCATAGTTCCTTGTATATTAATTAATAAACTTACAATGCTCAATTAGTTTTTTTCCTCAAATTCAATGAGAAACATCTCAGTCAAAATAAGATCATGAGAATGGGTTTCCAGAAAATAAAACTTTACATCTTATTTATTCATTTTCCAATATTATTTATAAAAAATTTTCTAAATATTGTGGATCTAATTCCTTGGAAATTTTATTAATGATTTTACTAAGATCTTTTACTTTAAAAATAAAAATTCTCAAAGAAACATTTTTAAATAATAAGGGGAAAATGTGCCTTTGTCATAAGGCATTAATGCAATAAATTTAAAATGAAAGAACATATAGGCAGATAAGCTAATCTAAAATATAAAATATAATCAAAGGAAGAAAATGAATAACTTAAATCTGAAAGCAAGTAAGGGTACATAGGGTTGCCACAGCTCTCAGGCGACTCAACGGCACATAATTACTTCAAAATAAGAGAAAATTTAGACAGGAGGGATTTCACAATAATATGTGCACACACACAATGAAGCAAGTATAAAAATAGCAGGGGGTCTCTCTGTCAGCGTAACTGGTACAAGAATATAAGAATATAAGTCTTAAGTCACAGTGAGTTTTAGTAAACTTTAAGAAGATTTTTTTTACAGTATGAACCTCAAAACTGCAATCCTTCAAAAAGTGAGCTCACAGAGCAATAATAAGTCCACAGTGGAAGCTGGAGATTAAGACTATCACGAATGTTTCTCTGACACTAAGTTGGCAAAGAACAAAACTAGTTCAACAAAACTGATTTGCATTTACAAATTAATGTATAGAGAGGAAGATTCTGGGCAAAAGGAGACTGTGTAGAGAATTTTTGACATGTCCTTGACTGACTAAATGCATGTAGTTTAAACAAGACTAAGCAAGATTGATTAGACAGATGAAAATATGTTAGAAGAAAAGCAATCTGAAGAGTTTTCTCTCAACCAGAGTCAAAGTCTATCTTCATACTTCTTCAAAACCAATTAGCAATACTGTTAGAATTGTGTTGATGCCCCTGAAACAGCTACTAAAATTTATCCATTTAATATTTTTCTATATCAAATTTTACTGACACAGAGAAGGGCCCGTTTGTTTATGGCTGCTTTATAGAAAGAATTTAATAATTTAACAGACCTCAGTAAATAAAATTATAAAACTGGTTACTACCTAGTCTTTTACTAAAATAGTTTTTCTTCTCTGATGTAAAATTTATTCCCTGCTCTCATAGTTTTGTATTATACAGAGATGAAAGAATAAGGAGTAATAGCTATGTAGTTACATTTTTCCACCTGCACATAAATGATAACTATCTTTTTAACTTGTTGGCCATCTAAAAAGATTCATAGTTAATGTTTCCCTCTGTAATCTCCCCCTTTGTCCCTAAATGTATTTAAAAATAAATCCCAAAATCTCTGTAGATGTTAATTGAAATGAAAAATAAACAACCTAAATTAAAAAAAAATAGATTTTAAGAAGACTAATTTGAGAAATTGATCTATTTTATCCACACAGATTTCCTACTAATCAATAAAGTGTATGAATATTTTGTAAAACTCTCTTGTTCTCTATTTAAAACCAAATTTGTACCATTAACTCATATGAATTCTAGACTTCACCTAAAATATCCCTGAAAAATAATAGACTAAGATATACGTGTGCAATTTAAAACCAAGCTCCAGAAATCTATTATCATTGAATTATGTTAAACCATTTTCATGACCTGTGCATGAGTCTCTGACTAAGTTCTTTGATGTATCAAACACTTAAGACACCATCCTTGAAGTTTTGTTAGTATGTTTTGGTTCTCATAGATTTGCTTAAATTTTCTTCCACTTCAACCTAAACTAATTGATCATTTGTTCCATAGACAGCTCTTGGCCTTATTCTAATGGTGATATTGACCTTAATTGTTCTCATCTACAAACATGATTATATTGTTATTTATTCCAACAAATGAGATTCATCTGTATAACATTTTTTGATATTATGGAAAAATACATTTTCAATGAATAATTCATTGATGTTATGAAGTTATATAATCTCAGGTATTTTTCTATCACCAAGACCGCATTTTCCAAAGACTTATGCTACTTGTCATTTTCAATTTTCTCATTTCAATCATCCCAAATTAACAATGCATATACGAGGATAAATAAGGCATCATGATTCAAGGAAGACTAATCAAAAACCTATATTATTCAGATAATCAACATTACTTTCTGCACTTGTGGCAGAAGGTCAAGGACTACAGCTTTAAATATGCATTGAAGCTCAACATCAAGAAAACAAATAATCTCACCACTGAGCCAATTGTCAGTATCATGATAGATGATGAAAAGATTGAGATTTTTAACAGCTTCAGTTTGCTTCAATCCACAAACAACACTCTTGGTACCAGCAGCCAGGAAATCATAAGACAAATTGCATTGGGAAAGTCTGCTGTCAGGGACCTCTCCAGAGTACTGAAATGCTATGCTGTCAGTCTGGAGACTAAAGTGCATCTGATCCAGGACATGGTCTTCGCAGTTACTTGCTATGCATCAAAAAGCTGGACAATGACTGGGGTGATAGGAGAATTGACGCTGTTGAGCTGTGGTGTTGGATAAGAGTACTGAATATACTATAGACTGCTAGTAGAACAAACAGGTTTGTTCTAGAGAGGGTGAAAACAGGCTGCTACTTGGAGGCCAAGATTCTTAAGCTTTGTCTGACATACTTTGTGCACGTTGCAAGGAGGAGCCAGTCCTTGGACAAGAACATCATGCTTGGGAGGGTGGAGAGACACCACAAGAGAGGAGGACCCTGGTTGAGACTGATTGACTCAGCCACTGGGGTAAAGAGGGTGGGTGTGTCAGAGACAATAAATTTGGCTCAGAATAGAACAGGGTTCAGAGCTGTTGTACATTTGGTCATGATGAGTCACAAGCGACTTGACAACACATAACAACACTGATTGCATGTTTGTTCAATTTCAAACTGTAGATGTTTATAAGAATATTTAATTTCTAGATGCTTTAGGATTGTTAATTGTTGATGGGTAAAAACTATCAATAAAATTATATTCATGAGGTCTTCTTTTCACTCTGTTGGAAAAGGTTTCTGATGTGCACAGGGATTTAATCTTTAGAAGGTCCCATTCATCTATTTTATCTTTTCTAGATTGAGTATAGCATCGAGGACTCTTCTTCATAGGGTCGCTATGAGTCGCCTGCAACTGGCACTTAACAACAACAATGGATTGAGTATTTCTGGCTGCATTTAATAATAATCTGTTTATACCATAAACGAGGCTGTCTAAGATTTATCCCAGTTTGTTTCTGGTTAACTTTATGGTTTTAGGCTTTACTCCCAGGTTTTTGATCCATATTGAGTTGATTTTGTGTATGATGTGTGATGTGTGCCCTGTTTTAGATTTTTACAAGTAGCAGAAGACTGGTAGTGGAAAAATATGACCTTGGGGTAGAATTGAGGCTACCTATCAAATGATAGAATTTTGTACAATGATTTTTTTCATTATGTTGTTGATTGCCACTGAGTTGAGCACAACTCATAGCGACTCTATGAATGAAAGACCTGAAGTCTTCTATAACTACCATTTCTTTTTTTTCCCTTTAAAATCATGGACAACTTTAATCTTTTCTCCATCCATCATGATGTTGCCTATTGGTCCAGTAGTTAAGAATCTCTGCTTTCTTGATGTTGAGATGCAATCCACATAGAAGGCTGTAAGAGGACAGTGCTTCAAGTCCTCTTTGCTTTTAGCAAATAAGGTTGTTTCATCTGCATAACATAGGTTAATTGATGAGACTTCCTCTGATCTTGATGCCACATTCTTCTTCATGGAGTCCAGCTTCTCAAATAATTTGTTTATTATACAGATTGAATAGGTATGGAGAGAGGATACAACCCTCTTTCCATGCCTAATCAATCTCTCCATTCTCTTTATAAATTGTGTGTGTGTGTGTGTGTGTGTGTGTGTATTGATTGAATTCAAGTTGAGCACGACTCATAGTGACCCTATGAACAAAAGGCCTGAAGCCATTCTACAACTATCAACATTTATCAAAGTTCATAGAATTTCCAAAGGCATGTTGTTTAGGAAGTGGATGCCACTTCTGCTTCCAATTATAAATTATAATAATTTATGATATATTATGCACTAGGCATTATTGTTTTAAGTTTTCCTTATGTAACAATATAACATTTCAATAACTTGTAAGGTAGTGTTGAAGGGTTTTCTAGAATATCGGCACATATACCTATATGTATAAATTCACGCATATATATGTATACACACATATACATACACACCCATATACATACATTTTAAGAGTGAGACATTGATTTTTGAAAAATTAGCTCGTATAGTCACAGGAGCTAGCAAGTAAAAATGATTAGTTCAGGTGACAGGCTAGAAATTTTGAGTCTTATGTCCCAAAATCTGTAGGTCAAGAAATACGAGAGAGAGAGAAAGGAATTCTGGCAGACTATTTCATTTATCATCCCTCAGGCACCTTCCAGCTTTTCTCTAAAGGAGCTCCTCTGAATAGCACTGTATTGAGGATAACCTGTTCTGTGTAAAGGCAGCTTCCTGAAGAATACAGACGCCATGGCCGTAGGCTCCATATGGCCTCATGGCCACTCTCCACTGGGTTTCCAAGACGAAATCGCACCAGAGGAGATTGTCCATCTTTCTTTCACAGATTCGCTGGTGGATTCAACCTGAAGCATAACAAAGATGCACGTATCAAAATCATCATTTTGGCTCCTGTGTTGTGAAAAGGCTGGAAGGAAGAGAATTAACAAGAATTATAAAAAAACAAAAGAGGGAGTCCCTTTAACAGAATCAATGGTTGAAAATGTGGTGGAGGGTGTGGCCTTTGAGTGATTAAGGCCACT